GCCTCTAGTGGTGAAGATGGGAGGTAATATCAGCTGACCTAATGTACATGTAAAACGTGTTTTGACAGGACATAGAGAAAAATCTGGAAAAGATATTTATCGGATTTTTAGCCAATAAAAAATAAAATTGACAGGTTCTGGGCAAAAATAGTTGTTTTTTTAGTCAGAAAATGATGATGACAATATTGCTGTATTATGTTTGATTATCAGATACAAAATTATATCATGAAAAATTCCAAAAAGCAGAGACCACGGGTGAAACCAGTTCATTTTTTTTGTACGCAGGAACAAAATTCTAACAGAAAAACATTCATTCGAGCAGAAAACAAAAGCCAGATCATCTTTCTATAAAAATATCGCTTCTCAGACACAAAGTTTGGAGCGGGACGTTTCACAAAAGTGACATCCACGGCGCCAATTTATAATTGTAACTAATAGTATTTGAATAAAAACATTTAATTGGGTAAAACCTGGGCGTTGCCCGGGTCATTCGGCTAGTAGATTATAAATACAAGGTAATAATACCAAATCCAAATAAATTGTGTGTGACGATTCAGTACCAGCATTGTTACCATCATCGGACAAAAGTACTGAATGTATTTTTATGAAGTATTAATACTGAAGTACATTCAGTACTCTTGTCTGATGATGGTAACAACACTGTTACTGAAATTGTTACTATTTATTTGGATTTGGTCTTATTACCTTGTGTTTTTTTTTTTATTTATTATTGTAATAAGGGCAGTAAAAATGGTTGTTTTTAAAAAAGAGTGACACGTCAAAATTAGGTCAAGTTTCTGATAACTGTGTGTAACTGGTGCAATGTTTTTCTAGTAGTATACAGTAGAACCTCCATGAGAGGACACTCTTGTTCTAAAGGATACCTCTCTATAAAAGATAGTTTTCATTGCCAAAATTATACCATTTTAAAATTATTTTTCTACCTTTTTGGGGTAAGAAGACACCTCTCTCTTTAAAAAGGTTATTCTTCATAAATAAGTTCTACTGTACTGGAAAGTGATATGGCAGGAATGTGCACAATTTTGAATAAAGACAAAAGGAGATCGGCACACAATCTAATCCACAAATAGCTATTTCTATAGATGGAGATTTTTTTCACTTTCCCTGGAGGATATTGTGACCTAAAAAGACTACCTCACTCTTTCTCTCTCTTCAAAATAAATGCAAAAAGTTCCACCATCTATTAACTGTCGCTACAATCTAGCAGAATCAGGTTGGTGACCAATCTGATAATGCTGATACAAAAGGATACTGTATTTATAATACCAAATAGGATTTAAGACCAGAAATTTCTGATCCTTTTGTCTCTGTCTTTAATTGAGAATAGACTCAAATAATATATTTATCGGTTATATCTACAGTAAAACCCCTCTATAGTGAATTCTTCTTCTTTCTTATCTACATTCAATCATATTAGGGTAACAAGCTTGTAGTGTCTGCTGGGGATGAGTAGAGCTCATCAATGGATGAGTCATTATAGTCAATGTGTTTTGGGGTTGCAGGTTGAGAATTCAACTTAGTACATAGTGGGAAAACCTTGCAACCATTCTGGAAAGTCATTGTCCGTAGATGACCAGACTTAAGTCTGGAAATAAAAGACTGTTGTTCTCTTGGGAGGACAGAATTGGGTGTTTGTCCCTCCTGCTCTGTACCAGTCATGTGCAGCAGCAGATTTCCATTCCTGCAGGTATTGGGTTTTGATGGTACGGAGGAGGTCTCTTTCATCTAGTTGGGTGGTAGATTTCCTGGCCTCAGAGAGGCCAAGGGCTCCTGACTTTGCCAGAGAGTCGGCTAGCTCATTTCCAGGAATTCCAATGTGAGCTGGAATATAGTGAACTCTAATGAGACTGAACCTGTGATTCACTATAGACCTGGTTCATTATAGCCATAGTTCACTGTATTATGAGATAGAAATAGGGTTTACCTGTATTTTAGGTTCATTATAAGGGAAGGTTCACTATATTCCAGGTTCGTTTTAGCGGGGTTTTACTGTATCTGATCATTTTCTCTTTCAATCATTCTATCAGAGCACAGACAATATGACAAGCACCAGTTCTGTCCACCCAAGAGAACAACAGTCTTTGATTTCCAGACTTAAGTCTGGTCATCTACGGACAATGCCTTTCCAGAATGGTTGCAAGGTTTTCCCACTATGTACTAAGTGCAATTTTCAACCTGCAATCCCAAAACACATTATTGACTGTATTGACTCATCCATTAATGAGCTCAACTCTTCCCCGGCAGACACCATCAACAAGCTTTACAAGCTTGATACCTTAATATGATTGAGTGGAGATAAGAAAGAAGAAGAAGAAGATGACAGACAATATGTACACCTTGTGATGTGATTACACCTCATGTAATCTTTCTTTACACAAGGGGATAAGAAACAACAACAACACCTTGTGAAAATGAATTTTTGATAAACTCCAATAAAAGTGTTTAGAGGTTTCTATATTAAACCCAAAACGGTGTTTTGTGCCCCAGGTCTAAAAGACTGCAACTACGTCACCTTCACCAGTATCCAAAGCAAGAGTATCCTCCCTGCTCTCAAAGGCCACAATGTCTGGGGAAAAGCCAAGACAGGATCAGGAAAAACCCTCGCCTTTGTAATACCAGTAAGTTTCTACACACATACATTCCTCTTTTATCTTCTGAACATTCCTTTTGCTAAAATATACTATTATGATGCACTAGCGTGCCATCTGTTATCAAAATAGGAAACTATTATAGACACGTAAGATTCTTTTTTTTTTATAAAATAATATTTACTGTCTTTACTGCAATGGAAAAATTGCACTGGGAGAGTTCAGCACTGATGAGCCAGGCCCTCCCATTATTTTTTCCATTGCAGTAAGGGCAGTAGAAATTGTTTTATTTAAAAAAAAAAAAAAAGAATCTTACGCGTCTACAATAGTTTCATATTTTGAAAATATACTATGAAGACAGATATACCTGAAATTTTTTTTTTTTTCATACAGATTTTTAAAAATAAAAGAAGCATATCCTGACCGGGCTCACATGAACATTTCTAGATAGATAAATCAAGAAATTGGGTTGGCCAAATATCAAAGAACAAGTTAAATAAACGTTTAGTTTATTTTTGTTCCACTAGATGGCGCTCTGCCACCTAGAAATGTTCATGTGAACATGGTCAGGATATGCCTATTTTATTTTTAAAAATCAACACCTGACCTTTAATATTTTTTTCAACAAATTGTTGACTGTATTGATTCATCCATTGATGAGCTCTACTCTTCCCCGGCAGACACCATCAAAAGTCTCAAGCTTTACAAGCTTGATACCTTAGTGTGATTTGAGTGGAGATAAGAAAGAAGAAGATTATTTTTCACATTTTTAAAATAATGTCCCTCAGAATGTTTTAATGGTTTGCTAATTAGCTCAAATTAATTACGTGCTTGTTAATTATAAATTTTTTTTTGTTAAATATAAAAATTTTATATACATTATCAAAAATCATCATTAAAATCATGACTAGCATGGGTAAAGATGATTTTAACCATATCATTACAAATCTCTTCATCACTTCTTTTTTTTTTTTTTTGCTTATCCCTAGTACAAGCTTATCCCTAGGCCATGATAATCATGGTGGGTAGAAGTAGGCGACTGCTTTTACTATAAGTGCACCACATGTCTATACATGTGAAAAGCAGTTTGACTTTGCACTTACAAATATGCCAGAGCCCCGTTTGGTTACTTGCACTCGCTGGTGGGGTTGGACTTTTGCAAGAATCAGGGGCCATTGGAGCATTTTTTTTTAAAGAAAAAAGTTCCCAATGCGGGAATCGAACCCGGGTCGTAGCGGTCGAAAACCAACGGTGTAGACCATCCTTCCACCGACCCCCTTGTCTTCATCACTTTGTTTCATCCATTATTCCTCAGACATGAGGTTACAATAAATGCGATGTGTGTCCAGGTTCTAGAGAAGCTATATAAGGAAGGCTGGTCGAAGGAGTTTGGTGTAGGAGCCATTATCCTCTCCCCCACAGCTGAGCTGGCCAAGCAAACCTACGATGTTTTCAACAAGGTGGGACGTTACCACAGCTTCTCCATCGCACTCGTCATTGGAGGAGGAAATGTAAGTCTATCTCTCTCATTTTATATATTTATATGGCTATCTCCATAAACTCTCAAAAACCTCAAGAATTCACCTTCAATGGATACCCTCACATGTTGGCATTGAAGGCAATGAAGCTGCTGATGTGCTAGCGAAAAAAGGCACAAAAGAACCCTTGCCACAGAAAAATAACCAAAGCAGTAGCCAAGTAGCCAAAACAAAAATAAACAAGAACTGGATCCCACCTAAGCACAGTTGGTACAGTGGAATGAACCCAGGAGGAGCTCTGAACATCAGAAATAGACATCATCAAACAACACTAACAAAATTTAGAACAAGCCATTGAAGATTGAAAATAATAACAAAATCAACCCCACTTGCCCAAAATGTAGCTTGGCACCTGCAGCTCCAGAACACATTTTGGCTTGTGGCATTAGATGCACTAAACAGGACCTTTGGGAGAGGCCGCTGCTCATCATAAAACAGCTCGAGGAGCATGAACTCATGGAATTCGTATAATCTTTACACAAGGGGATAAGAAACAACAACAACATATATTTATATCATTATTTAATCTTATTTATTCTCTATTTTATATTTAACCTTATTGTTTTGAAAATAGAGCAATCCATAAATAAATCTTTAAATAAAAAGGCATATATTGGATCAAAATATCATTTATTTTACCAATATTTCAGTTGGCTGAACGCCACCCTTTATTAATGTATTATAATGTGATATATGTATGCATAGGCATACAAAATGTAATACACTTTAAAATGTTATAATACCTTGATAAAGGTTGGTGTTCAGCCAACTGAACTATTGGTAAAATAAATGATATTTTGATCCAATATATGCCTTTTTATTTAAAGATTTAACCTTATATGAACAAAAAATTTTACCATGCTGGGAATCGAACCTGGGCCTTCCTGAGTGAGAGCCAGGCATCATAGCCACTAGACCATGTAGGATATAATGAGATACATATAGTACTCTTATCTGAAGATGGTAACAATGCTGTTACCGAAATGTCACACACTATTTATTTATTTGGATTTGGTCTTATTATTTTGTTCTTATATGAAAAAAATAATAAAAGTAGTTTCAATCTCTCAATACCAACTCTCTGTTACACAGCTCTATAAAGTGGCGATGTTCTTTTCTTCGGCTGTGTTAGACCAGTTCAACAAATCCATGTTCCTCTTGTCTATGGCAATGGTCTTCTTCATTCTTATCTCTAATCATATTAGGGTATCAAGCCTATAGAACGTGGCAACCATCTTGACTGGTTGAAGTGGAATGTATCTGCCTTTGTCATTAAGACTGGGAGCACTATAGCCAGGATTCGATCCCGGGTTGTAGTGGTGGAAAACCAACAGTTTAGACCATCCTTCCACCAACCCTCTAAAGTATAGAATGTATACTTACTCTGATAGGTTAGGTTGAATGAGGTTCTCAGGGTTTGATGTTGCGTAGATAATCCTGGTGATATCTTTCTTCTTGCGCAGAAGGGACATGGTATTCTTAGCTGGAACATCAATAACACTTCAATCTAGGGTGCTTCAGTCCCGGGTCATAGCGGTCGAAAACCAATGGTTTAGACCACCCTTCCACCAACCCCCAGACAGTTTTTTACTCTGGATGGCAGATAAGCAGTGTTTATTTGCACGATTGTGTTACCACCCTGTTCAACTCTCCAATATGTAAGATGGTGATGTGTGTGTCCAGAAAGTGAAGCAGGAGAAGGAGAGAGTCGGACAGATCAGTATCTTGATCTGTACTCCAGGCAGACTGGTTCAGCACATCAATGAGAACCCAGACTTACGCTGTGACGATCTCCAGATGCTTGGTAACTGCCCCATGTTCACTCTTTATTCCCCTGCTGTTGACTCTCTAGACCCCATAGATACATAACCCCTCTAGATACATAATACAAATATTATAAACACAATGTAATAAGACCAAATCCAAATAAATAAATAGTGTGTGACGTTTTGGTAACAGCATTGCTACCATCTTCAGACAAAAGTACTGAATGGATACTTGATTCAGTATTTTTGTCTGAAGATGGCAACAACGCTGTTACCGAAACGTCACACACTATTTATTTATTTGGATTTGGTCTTATTACATTGTGTTTATAATCTATAATCCAAATTGTGCCTTATCAATAATACAAAGATATTATACATAACAGAGAATAATATTGGTATTTCAAATTTTTTTGCAAGTGTTTACTAATTTTTGAGACAACCTTGTAATTTATAAATTTTTAACTGTTCAATTTTCTCTCCCTCCACAACACCCTAACCCAGAGGTCAGCCAAACTGCGGCTCGCGAGTCACATGCGGCTCTTTGGATGTGAAGCTGCGGCTCTTTATATAGTTCCATATGCAAATATTATTTATGTGAGTACTATTTATTGTTAGCAAGAATTAAATGTTGTGGCTCTTCTAAAAATTTGATATTTAGTGATAAGGCACAATTTTGATTATAGATTATAAACACAAGGTAATAAGACCAAATCTAAATAAATAAATAGTGTGTGACGTAACAGCGTTGTTACCATCTTCAGACAAAAGTACTGTTATTTTTGTCTGAAGATGGTAACAACGCTGAAACGTCACACACTATTTATTTATTTGGATTTGGTCTTATTATCTTGTGTTTGATATTTAGTGTAAATTGTGTAATTTTTGATTCTTCCAACTCAAAAGTTTGACTCTGCCTTTGCCTGTCCCAAGCCCGGATGAAAAAGGAGGAGGGGGAGCAGTAACAAGCTGGGTAAAAAACCTGGGCTCAGCTGGCCCGGCTGATAGTACCCTGAAAGGGCTCCTAATCCAGGGATACAGGATGAGCAGCGTTTGTACTCCATGTTAGGAGCGGCTGCACATGGCGTCTGTTCCTCATGTCAGAGGCGGCCATTTCTTTTGGAGCTAAGTCAGCCTGCCACTGAGTAGTGCTCCCAGTCTTAATGACAAAGGCAGACACATTCTACTTCACCCAGTCATGGTGGTTGTCAAACAGACACCATCAAGAGTCACAACTTGATACCCTAATATGATCGAGTGGAGATAAGAAAGAAGAAGAAAAGCTTGACGACTTCTGACCTAACCTCATCTGCTTGTTGATGATTGCAGTACTGGATGAGACAGACCTGCTATTAGAGCAGTGGTTCACAGACCAGATCCTGATGATCCTGGACTTCCTGCCATCAACTAAACAGATCCTGCTCTTCTCAGCCACACAGACCAAGTAAGTTGTTCTGTAGCCACGTAATTGATCGTATCTCACTGTTTTGTCCCGCTGAGCAGGAAGGTAGAGGACCTTATGAAACTGGGAGCCATAGAAAATACCATGGTGGCCTACGACAACACCAGGGTTAAAAACCTGGTACAGGTTAGTTGGCTGCAATATTTCTCTTTTTTTTTTCCTCCTTTTTCTTGGATGTAATCCTTTTTTGTTTCCTAATTGAGAGAAAACTAAAAAGATTTGATATATATATGTCGTATCCGTCGTGGTCGTATGGAAGGGCGCAGCCGTTGTGCATGTATGCTTTGAAAAAGAACTTGTTCCACTTTCGTGAGCGTGCTCACACGGCGGCGTGCCATAGCATTCGTCCATCCGCGCTGGCACCCAAGTTTATTTTGTACAGATTTATAGATGGATTAATTTGTATTTACATTTTAACATATTAATTATGGTGAAAATAAATTATATCTCTTGGGCATTATACAAATTATGACATATATATTTTTTGGATTATAGATTATAAACACATGCTAATAAGACCAAATAAATAAATAGTGTGCGATGTTTCAGTAACAATTATTTTTCTTTTCAGAAGATGGTAACAATGCTGTTACCGAAACATCACACACTATTTATCTATTTGGAGATGTCTGTGTATATATATGGAGTGTGTATATGGAGATGTCTGTAAATGTTGAAGTTATATAATGTGCTCTTACTAATGTTCTAGCTGATGTTGTTGTTGATTTCAGAAATACATCCTGATCACCATCCAGCACAAGGTCAATCTCCTCTGGTCCTTCCTCAACAACCACGCCAAGTCCAAGGTGATGGTCTTTGTCACGTCCTGCAAGCAGGTAGGTTCCCTGGTGTATATGATGTTAGCTCTCTACGGATCTAAACACCCTGGCTGGTGTCTGCAGGTGCGCTACTTCACGGAGATCTTCCCCCGCCTCAACTCGCGGCTGCGTATCATGGGCCTCCACAGTGAGATGCCTCCCTTCCGCAGAATCCTCCTCTTGGATCAATTCAGGAAGGTGGAACATGCGGTTCTCATTGCTACAGATGTGGCGGCTCGTGGTCTTGGTAGGTTCCTTTCTTCTTTGATCTCATGGGGGAACATGACTAAATAAGTATTAGCAATAAACACAAGGCAATAAGACCAAATCCAAATAAATAAATAGTGTGTAGTATAGTGGTCTTATTACCTTGTGTTTATAATCTATGATCCAAATTGTGCCTTATCAAGTATTAGCAATGTGTGACATTTGTCATATTAGAATATACATACTGCTTTTCACATGTGTAGACATGTGGTGCACTTACAATAAAAGCAGTCGCCTTCTTCTACCCACCATGATTATTATGGTCTGTACCACGTGTACTAGGGATAAGCAAAAAAAAAAGAATATACATTAGTCATAGTAACCTTCTAGCAGTATAATTCAGTAAAATGCTTTAGTGTGGTGCTACCAAGTATTCTTTAGTCTGAGGATGGTAACCTCAATGTTAAGGTGAAAATATCATGCATCCATGGATAGGTTTCTTTATAAAAAATCTTTTATTCACAAATCTCTCTTTTGGGCATCAAATCCCTTATACAGGAAAAAAACACAATACATTATATATATTTTTTGCTTATCCCTAGTACACGTGGTACAGGCCATGATAATCATGGTGGGTAGAAGTAGGCGACTGCTTTTCCTGTAAGTGCACCCTATGTCTACACATGTGAAAAGCAGTTCGACTTTGCACTTACAAATGTACCAGAGCCCCGTTTAGTTACTTGCACTCGCTGGTGGGGTTGGACTTTTGCAAGAATCGGGGGCCGATAATAAATTTTAATTACATATGCACCAATACCTCGCTTTGCGTCGTTTCGTTTTGCGTTTTTTTCGAAGTTGCGTCGCTGCTTAATTTTTACTGATTTTCACTTAGCGTCGTTAGATTTTCGAAGTTAGGTTGTTTTGAATTTGAGTCTTTAATTTTTTTTTTTTTTTTTTTTTTTTGAATTTTTTTCCTAAAATATGGCAACACCTTTGTTTTTGGTTGCGCCTTCACATATTTTCACTTTGCGTCGTTTCAATTTGCTTCGTGTTTTTTTTGGAACGTAACCCCGACGCAAAGCGAGGTATGGGTGTATAATACATTTTTTTTTTTTATTCTGCTGTGATAGAGATGCATGGAGACATCTGAGACTCTTTATTGGACATGACAACAACAAAATTTATTGTGTTTTTCTCCTGTGTAGAAGGGCTTTCATGTGTACGAAAGTTAGAAATTTGTGAATAAAAGTTTTTTTAAAAAGAAGCCTATCCCTGGAGGATTGATTATTTCACCTTAATATTGATACAAGAAATTATTGTATCGAATTGTGAACCTCAATGTTATGGAAACATCATATAATGCAAGGTAATAAGACCAAATCCAAATAAATAAATAGTGTGTGACGTTTCGGTAACAGCGTTGTTACCATCTTCAGACAAAAGTACGGTGTTACCATCTTCAGTACTTTTGTCTGAAGATGGTAACAACGCTGAAACGTCACACACTATTTATTTATTTGGATTTGGTCTTATTACCTTGTATTTATAATCTATAATCCAGATTGTGCCTTATCAATTATATAATGCCATCTCCAATATTGACATCTCTTTCCATGATGTGACAATACTGGGTGAATGGTAAAATTAGGTGCTGCTGCATTGAAAGGAAG